AAACAAAATGGTGAACTGGGCAAGCGGTACTCACAATTAGGCGAGTACACTCGGGAACTTTTAAAGTGCAACCAAACATGCTTTAGGCTCTCACAACAAGAGGCGAGTGGTGGTGGCTCAGGTGCTCAGCCAATCAGAGCACCTAAGGAGGGAGGGCAGGAGTGAGAGGGGGGTGGTATGTGGAAGTTTGGTGACAGTTGTGTGTAGTTTGTTCATCTTCATTGTAAGTTTCATGGCTTGGTGTGCATTTCCCTAGTAAATTTAATTTGGGAAAAATTCAGGTGTTTGAATTTTTAAATCAACTTTTTAAATGTTGAGTTGTTAAAGCCTCAAAGTGCATGGAGTTGGTTTGGGAGTATGGCATCCTCATGCTGTTGCGTGCTCGCGTGAGGTAGCAAAGGTGATGTAAAGTTGTGGGGTGTACATGCTTGGGACGTCCTCTCTCGGGATGGCTGGTGTTAGACCTGAGTGTTTGTCGGTTGTTGAAAAGCCGTCATCCTTTGCTGTTGTGGTATTGATTTTACATTGTTCATCTTGTAATTAATACTGTAGTGCGATATCTAGGGCTACCATTTGTAGGTTTAAAATGTCTAATACAAACAGTTGTCCAATGAGTTTTAATAGGAAATATCATCCACCAAGCACCATTGTACAATTATATTAATTTATAGTATATGGATTGTGCAGAACTGCTTAGAATGATCTTTAACACTTGGCTATATTGGTCATGTCAAATACCTGCACGGTGAATGCTCAAAGACCCTTTCTTTATTCAGTGTTGTCACATACCTCATGGGGGTATGGATAGGCAAACACTCATTCGGTTAAACTTGCCTTGTAGTACTGTACTTTCAAAGCTCAGTAATTTGGAATCTGGTTAGCACTTTCCAAATAAATTGACCTTTAAAGTGAATTCCTATTTAGGTTTAAAACATTATACCGAATGAGAAACTCGGATTATATAGCCGAACACCAGAAATGTTGTTATTCAATTTGGTTGCCTAAAGCACATTCAAGGACTACACATTACATGGCATTCCAGGATTCCTCTATACCTTGCCTTATGCTGTAAACATTGCCACAACCCTGTGTTTTATTGATTTAAATGGCCACAGGGAGGCATACAACACTGCAGATTATGATATCATTAGTTATCCACTGTGCTGACAAGTGGGCTGACTGATGTTCGTTGACACCTGTATCGTGCTTCAATTTAATCGCCAGATCACCCTCTCACTAGACTCGTCTGTAGGAAGTACAGTATAGTATCTCAAATTACCTTGGATCATAAATAGCATAAGACTTGGGGGTAGGAGAGGGTTGCAGTGTTTGTCATGGCTCTCAGTTGTTCCTGGTATTAGGCAATTTAGTTCTGGAATAATTTTTGTTGGCCAATGTTAAACTTTTTCAAAAGTAGATGTTTTTCTGAAAGGGAAGGGGGGGGGGACCTCTATGCTTGGATACAGTAATCTAAGTGAATACTTAGATTTATACAGTAGAATAACTACCTTCTTTTCCTTAGTCAAAAAGGTTGCTTGTTTATTTCTAGGGACTTGTATTTTCTTTTATTTTTAACTGCAGCAACTTTCAGTGAATCATAGATTCTTACTGAAAGGACCTTTACTTCATTGTTTTTGCTTTATGGTCATCTCATTATGTACAGGGATTCCGCGAAGCTTTTGGGGTTAGTCTTTGACACTCGTTTGTCTTGGTCAGCCCATATCTCTTGCTTCCGAGTTGAATGCTCTAAGGCCCTTAACCACCTTAAGGTTTTGTCCCATACTTCTTGGGGAGCGGATAGGCGCACGCTCCTCTATATGCACTCCTCTCTCGTCCTGTCTAAACTCGATTATGGTTGCCCTGCATACTCTTCTGCTTCTTCTTCTACTCTTCGCCGTCTTGATGCTTTGCACCATACTGGGTTGCGTCTCGGCTCTGGTGCCTTTCGTTCGACTCCCGCCCTTAGTTTGTATGTTGACACTGGCTTTCTCTCTCTTCAGGACTGCCGTGATCGCTACTGTCTTCGCTATCTTGCGCGGTCCTTCCAACATCCTTCCTCTCGCCTCTGTCGTGCATTGACTTTTCCTCCTCCTGTGGTTCCTGTTCCTCTTCATTGTCTCTCACTTTCTGTCCAGTTATCTCGCTTACAGGATTCTCTTTCTGTTCATATTTCTAATGTTTCTCCTCGTATTGTTCCTTCATTACCTCCGTGGAGAGTCCCCCTTCCCAAGTTTTGTACGTCCTTGACTTGTATTACTAAAGCCTTTACCCCTCCTACAATTCTGAAAAGCCTCTTCCTTGAGCACTTTTCTTCGCACTCCCACTCTATTTCCATCTTCCCTGATGGGTCTAAGTGTGCGGATGGTGTGGGCTACTCTGTTGTTTTTCCTGACCGTACTTACATGTGTCGCCTCCCTTCGGAGGCTAGCGTCTTTACGGCAGAACTTTATGCTGTTCTCTATGCTCTTTGTCTCTTGCTTTCTCATTCCTCCTTTGTGGTTGTAGTTGATTCTCGTAGTGCCCTCATGGCTCTAGGGTCCTTTAATCCTGTCCATCCGGTGGTCATTGAGATTCAACATTGGCTGTTTCTTATTTCTATTAAATTTAAATCAGTAGAGTTTTGCTGGGTTCTCAGCCATATTGGTGTTTCAATGAGCGTGCGGATGCTGCCGCTAAGGAAGCTATCCGTTCTTGTCCCATCTCCCGTAAAGGTATTCCTTATTCCGACTTTTATCCTGTTATTCATTCTTCCCCGTTGGCAGGGTTGTTGGTCCTCTGTGGTTGGTAACAAGCTGCGTACTCTCAAACTTAGTGTGTCCCCGTGGCCTTCCTCCTACCACGGTAACCGGCGGTGGGACACTGCTTTGGCACAGCTGTGGGTTGGTCATACCCGCTTAACCCACGGTCACTTAATGGAGCGCCGCCCTGCTCCTTATTGTGTTGTCCCTCTTACAGTTGTGCATATCCTTGTTGAATGTCCTGACTTCCAGGACGAGCGTGTGTCTTGCTTTCCGACCGTCCCTCGCAGTCACTTGTCCCTCGATAGAATTCTAGGTGAATCGGATACTTTTGATATCGTTCGCCTTATGCGTTTTTGTTCTCGTATTGGCATTCTTGGTGATATTTAGCGCCCTCTGATTATTTCGCACTTTGATGGTGCTACATGGCCTTCCCAGTTTGGTGCCTTCTTTTGGTAATTACCTTACCTTCATTGTTGTTTCATTTTAATGTGGTAGTTGTGATATGGATTGTTCTGGCTCATGTGCAAGGTCTTGGATTTTTTTTCTGTTTTATATTAAGAAATTGCCAGTCTTGTTACTATTTGTAGAGTTAGAGATCTGCATTAAGGCCTCAATATTATATTCTTTATTTTTTTTATAACATGTTATCAGCAATTTTTGTGGTTGGTAATATTTAGATTAATGTCAGTGATGTATATGACAAGGGTTAAGACCCCTTGTGGTATGACAGTATTTTCCCGTCATTTCTTTAACAAATGAAAGGGTCCTCATAACCATTCTTTTGTCCTTTCTACCATGTACCTGTTTGTTGCTTCTTGGTCTTTCATTTGGTACTTTGGCTATTAAAACAACGGCCTTTGGTAATGTTGCAATTACCATTTCCAGAAAAAATGAGCAGGTTCATTAGGCAGGGTTTGTTTTTAGCAAACAGTTTTACAAAAAAAATTCCATTCCTTCAGGACCTTGCAGATGTTAGGTCAAACTAATTGACAGTAATTTGTTTTGCCCTTTCAAACAATGATAGTTTTAATCTAGGTAAAATATTTCAGAATATCTGAAGAGTTTGGCAGACAAATCATTTAAGAGCTTTGATTAAATTTAAGTTACCAAAGACTTTGTGAAAACCATGTTGTATAGATGCTTCAGTGTCACTTTTCTAATGTTTTGTAAATTTAACAATGATCTTTAGTTAATTTAATCATAATTTGTACAAAGTAAATTTAAAGCTATGCAACACCTAAGCTTTCAAATATGAGAACTAAAATATTGACTAGTTTCTTCCACTTTGATATTTCAGACTAATTTGCAATATTTGTTAGTTTATGTAAATTGAATAGGTAGTCCACTTTTACATCTTTTCAATGCATTTTGCATGCACCTATGTAACAAGTTACAAATAGGTGTAAATTTTACCAAGTATTTATTTTCAAAGTAAAAAAAATTTCAGATGTTTAAACATTGCATCAATAGTAGTAAACAATAACTTCCAGCATAATTTCAGGATAAGGTATATAAAGTAGTTTCATTAAAATTGTTTTATTTAGTAAGTTTTACATATAGTATTTATAATACATCTAATATTTATTAGTTTCAGGATGTGGGACAGATGCTCCTAGATGAACAGAAGATCCAAAAGGCCAAGACAACTCCAGAGACAATCACCTGTAAAAGAAAAATAAACATTAAACAGGGACACTACTTTTATTATCACCAATGCCTAATAATAAGCCAAAAAAATCCTAACAGCCTATCTTTTAAGATAGGCTCAGCAAGGCCTATCCCTTCCTCTGGTTTTGGTGCAGAGCTTGTTCCCTGAATGGGTGCAGTACATCCATCACTTTAGTGCCATCAACACATTGTACATATGCTTTACTGAAAGCACTGTACAATGCATGCCAGGCACTAAAGTTTTAGATGCATCCACCCATTCAGCAAACAAGCCCTGTGAGAATTAACAATGTAACCATTGTTAAGGGTCCCTAAACCTATGCAAATCTAGTCCATCTATTAGATGGGTAGTAGAGCAAAGCTCTGAAAAAGCCAGGCCAGGGAAATCTGCAGGACTGCCTGGTCCCCTTTTATGAAATGGGGTAGGATCAGTACAAACTGCATCATCCCCTGTGGGTTGTAACAGTAGGACATGGTTACGCACCTATAAATGGACTAGGTAAGAGAATTAAGATTAGGTCATTGATATAGCTAAAACATCAAATTCAAACTCACCCACTTTTGTAGATTTCCTTTTGCAGAGTAAAGGAGCCTCACTCAAAGCCAGTCCATGCATCATAATGAATTTCACCTGAAAAATATTTCAACAAATTAATTTCAGATTTAAAGCCAATCTTGCTTTACTTTACAAATTCAGATGGAAAAATTTTCTTTAAGCAATTTACCTTTCCTACATATTCTAGTAGCAGTAGTAAAGATCTAATTTATAAATATATATGGCAGCAATTTGCCAAGTTTCAGTAAATGTCATTTGAGAAACTATCCACAACTGCACTTCAATGGCAATTTACATTTATCTTTATCCAATGCTATATTGTTTAAGTTATTACTATTTTTTTTACTTTTATGCAAATCTATCCAGATTAACCTTTACTACAACTCACCTGATTCTGTTTAAGCAATTAACTTCTGACAGGGGGACTTCTGTACTTTCCAAACCACATTCTGGAAAACTATATAAATTTAAAACCAAGCTAAAGTAAACATTGAATATTTTTTTTTACTTTCAAGGGAAAAATACCATCACTTAGAACAAAACTTTTCCTGCCATTAACTTTATTTGACTCATGATTACCCTTAACAGTGTTATACATTTATAGATTAAAGCTTATTTAACAAACATTTAATGTTAAATTAACAAGATTTATATTTCATTAAAATTATTAATAAAACACCAACTATGCTGTTTAAGATCTAATGCCCCACATTACAATTTTCACAATATCAACATACCATTCTATTCAATACATTCCTGAAAGGACTAAACTTGCAGATATGGTACCCACTAGCCTAAGCCTAGACTTCCATACCCTAATATTTAATAGGTTTTTAGCAATTAACTTCTACCCTCTAATTCCAATGTAGCAATAGAACTATAAGCCACACTTTCTCCCAACTGTTCAGTGTCAAAAGGGAGGGGGAGGGGGTGTCCATTTACTGTACCACTTACATTTTAGTGTGGGCTTCATCCACTATTCTGATGTTAGCTGGAACATTTGTGCCAGCTGCTGGTTTGAAAGGGAGGCATACCATGTGCCAATTCAGGAAGCTTTCCACGTTCTTCACTGCATGTCACCTCAGGACCTCACTACCATGTTGGGAGGCAGTTGAAGACTAACCAATCAACATCCCAGGCTGGAGAGCAGTGCCAGCTCGAGGACAATTTACCACCTGCAAAAAAATTTAATATACTCTTAACAATCTACACCATCTATCATCTTTACCTAGCCCCCAAACCTTACATTTGTCAGCATTAAACTGCATCTGGTAGTCTTAACCATTTCAAAACTATAGGGCATCGGTATTTTTTATTTGCCAATTCTGCAACTATTGCAGTCTAAACCATAATCTTGCGAATAACCGAGGTCCAAGGAGAGCTTTTAGGCACTACTTACAACACTTCTCCCAACTTAACCCCATTTATACTAATTTCCTTTGGTATAGCCATGACCTAATTAACTTCAGTCAGCATTCCCAATGATCCGAGCCCTTATCAATTTTGCGCCACTCAAAATCTCTGCTGAAGTCAAGGTACACAAAATCACAAACCTTATCACCATTTCCTCAACTATGCAACCTAATCCATGAACATTTAGTAATAAAACTATGCGATTCATGTTTCTCAAAAAGAGTAGACATGGCACTTGCAATGTTAGATTCTAGTAACATTCCTCACAATAGACTAAGCTAATTGGTCACTAACTTAAGCGTTAAAGTTAACTCAAACTTTTCCTTTAAAACTTGCTATATTAGGAACTTTCCACGACCGGCCTTTACCCGACATAATTAAATGGGGTAAAAAGGGTATATTAAATGCAGTAAAACTACGGTAAATTCAATGATAAACTTGCATTCTTTAAGCATGGGCTGCATAGTACGTGAACTAAACTAAATGTTAAGCACCCTGGCAAACCACTTCGTTCTATTCAATTTCTTTATTTAATCACTTTGTCCGGCTAGAATTTAGATTAAAGGAACACCCTCCCTAGTAACGGCTGAACTAGTTAACCAAATACAAATATTTAGGTAAAATACTTTCATAAAACCCGTCTACTTCCCCCACCTTGTTCGGCTAAAGGCATAATGTAATGTTCCACTTTAGTAAATAAAGACTTAAAAAAACACTACCCCATCTGTGTAGTTACCGGTTACCTGACATTCTACGCTTAAAATAACCCATCTATTCCCCATAATTGTTCGATATAACTTACCTCTCACCCGCTGGTCGAGTACACAGCAGTATATATCCTCCTCCATCACTCACCGCGTGGATACTATTTCATTCTGGCCGCAAATTGCCTAAAATCACCTACGTTGTCCATAAACATATATAGAAGAGCAACTGACCGTAACACCCGTATATAGCGATCATCACATAACGTGGGAACATTAGTAGTACTGCTGTCAAAACATAGATGGCGCCAGGACAAACGGTAATTCCTATGGACTCGCCTAGTTATGCGTAGGGAATTGAGCTTCAGCTGTTTGGTCCCGCCCCTCAGCTGTATTCACCTAGTTGTACTCACCTAATTTGTGCTTGCAGGGGTTGAGCTTTGGTTCTTTGGTCCCGACTCTCAACCGTCAATCAACAGGTGTACAGGTTCCTGAGCCTATTGGGCTCTATCACATCTACATTTGAAATTGTGTATGGAGTCAGCCTCCACCACATCACTGCTTAATACATTCCATTTGTTAACTACTCTGGCACTGAACAAATTTTTTCTAATATCTCTGTGGCTCATTTGGGTACTAAGTTCCCCTTTGCGAGGGCAGCGGCGGGGGCAGGCGGAGTGAGGGCAGAGCCCCTCTGTGCGCCCGTATTTATACGGCCCCAGACTGCCCGCGCAACGCCGCGGGACGCGCTGCGCAAATGTTTCTTTCTCCCCCATCAGAAATATCCCCGCTTGCGATCAAGCAGTGACCATTATCTTTGCTTTCACTTCAGTTATATTTATGACAAGGGATTTAAAATTTGCCTATATTTCTGCTTCTCTGATGACATTAAAAACTTTCGTTTATTACAGTATCTACATAAAATTAACATTTATCTTCATTAGGTTGTAGTTCTCATCAATAGGGAGAGCGTCGGTAAAAAATAGTTCTCATCAATACGGAGAGCGTCGGTAAAAAAAAAAAAAAAATTAAATATAAATATCTTTCCTCTCTCAATAATATGCCCGAAACGCTATGCGTTCTAGTGGCTTTAGGTATTGTATGTACTAGCTCTATCTATAAATCCAATATTATGTTTGTAAATCGACTATTTATGTACTTTCCTGAATAAAATGAACTTTACTTTACTAATATCTAATCTCTGTGACTAAAACGTAAGAACGACTTTATCTATGCCTTTTTGATAACATATACAATTATAAGCTTTATTAGTGAATCTCTATTAATTAAACAATATATCAGAGAGTGTGTAAGGTTCGGTGTTCCATGTGCGAAGAGACATGGGAGATTTTACATCAGTACAGTAAATGTTTTAAGTAGCGAACGCATACTAACGAATAACGATTAGTATAGTACTATAGACCAACACTATTGTTCTATGAAGTCGATTTAACTTCCAGACATGTATTTTTCAATAAGTCTTAAATATTCTCTGGCTAGTTATGTTAGATATTATTAGAAATACGTATTCTACTTGTTAATATAATAAACTAAATTTGCGATCATTTAAGGAGAGAAGTGCGACGACTGGATCACTGTGTACAGAAGGTTGATATGCCAACAAACACTTTCCAGACAACAATATATCTTGGATAAGTCGCTCCACAACATTGACACCTGGACCGTTGACTTCCTATGAGGCCACATATTTACTTATTTCATAATGGAAGTATATTATTTTATAGTAAATATATGTTTTCTCGTGTTCTGCATTAAGTACCAACATTATAGTGAATAAATATACCATATTTCTTCATTATTTAAGTAATGCTAGGAGGCTTTGAGTAGCTTTGGGTCATTAGGTGAACAGAATCTCCAATAGATGGGGCGAGAGTCGGGCTATCTCTCGCCCGAGCGAGAGTCGAAACTTATTTTAGAATTGATATATCTTTGTCCTCCAACAAGATATATTTCCTTTGGTGCACTCACAATAACGAGCATATCTCTATCTTTCTGAAGGCATATAATATTTTAGGCTTTATAAGCGTATCTTTGTTAATTACACACTATATTGGCAAGTGCGTAGGCTTCTGCATTCCATGACCGACAAGCTACTGAATGCCACTATAAAAACGTATGTATCTTCACTTGAGCTTTATATATGTCTATGTTAAAGTATTTAAAATGAAACTTATATTTCTATCTTTCTTGAGACATATAAAACATATGTGTTTATTAAAGAATTTACGTGAAATAAGCATTGTTCTGAGAGTTGCTCTGTCGATCAGTCTGTGCGGGGTCGGAGCTCGGCGATTATTAAAACACATGTATCTTCATTAGAACTTTATATATATCTATGGTAAAGTATTTAAAATGAAGCTTATATTTCTATCTTTCTCAACACATATAAAAACATTTGCGTTTATTAACGAATTTACGTGAAATAAGCATTGTTCTGAGAGAGAGTTACTCCGTTGCTCGATCTGTGCGGGATCGGAGCTCGACGATTAGAAAAATACACGTATCTTCGCTTTAAATACAAATATGCCCATGGTAAGGCATTTAAAATGAAGATTATGTTTCTATCTTTCTTGAGACGTATAAAAATCTTACGTTTATTAACGATTCTGCGTGAAATAAGCATTGTTCTGAGATGAATATTGCGGATTTCCGGCTCTACGACCGATGAAAAATGCAACTTTTATACAACTACAAATATCTTTAGTTTTACTTAAAATTTTGTCCTGAAAGAGTTTTCATTTATAGATCCAGTTTCTGCCGTTCTTCTGACATAAAAAGACCTTTGGTTTAATAAGTTATTAAGATGTTTTCAACAATATTACTAGGGCGTTCACCGATTCTAACATGGGCGACCCTTTTGGAAACGCAACACATGGGTTGACCTGATTGATATATGGGTCAGATTCCATTAAGGTTCGGAACAATAGTATAATAGATGGAATTACTGGTGTCCATTTCACTTTGCCTCATATCTACGAGATTTTATTGAAGTTCTTGGTGTACTACTGCTCTCAGACTGCTTATTGACAATCCAAGGTAATACTCAATTTCTCCTTTAAAAGCAGATTCTTTGGCTAACTTATCAGCTCTCTCATGCATTCGGAAGCCAACATTAGATGGAGTCCACATGAAATGGACTCTGATACCATCATTAATAATTTTGTTTTATGTGTGTCTAGCTTCAGACACGAGCATGTTACAGTTACGTCTTAGAGTTGAGAGCAATTAAGGATGATAGTAACTTCCAATTAATGTATCAAGTTTGGAGACTTATACACATTTCAGTGCAAGAAGCAAGACAAATACTTCGGTCTGAAGGGTAGAAGCCCAGTTGTTTATACGGACTCCCCACTCAAAATATAAGCCATCGCCCATTGTCAGGACAACTGCACTTTCAGCTGCCCCCGTGGTGCGGTGTAGGGAACCATCAGTGTATATGATTTGAGAGAGAGAATGTTCTGTGGACAGAGCATCAGTATGGCTTAAGGCGTCGAGCTTTGCCTCAAGACGAAGCTTGGGCTGATTTGTTTCTTGGGTGGAAAGGGAGGGATTACACCCTTTCCAATTTTAATCTCCCACGGTGCAGGAAGTGCCGTCGTTATCTCTCTTGGTACAAATTATAAATCGGATACATTTAGAGTTCAGTTCCAGTTTGTTATCCATTTGGAGCAATGTTGACCTTCAATAAAAAAATTCTGGAGGGCTTCTTTGCAAGGGTTAGGATGAACTAGCCTAACCATTTTTATACCAATTTGACAGTTAATTTCAGTAACATGATCAACAACGCTCGGAATATTAAGTTACTTTCTCATGTTAAGTATGTTTGTGGTACGAGGGCACCCAAGGATTATCCTCAAGGCTTCGTTCTGCAATTTGTCAAGCCCTCCAAGCTTGCTTTCAGGCATCAAACCAAGCAGAGGTGCAGCATTATCCACTAAAGATCCGATGTACGCAAGTGCATCATGTTTACAATTCTGACACTGGCACCATAGCCAGAGTGATAACCTGTAATAGCCTTGAGAGTTGTTATAGATTCAGCTATTCGGAATAAGTTCCAAGTAGCACAGGCTATGGTGAGTCCGTAACTTACCTGGCACAGGAGCAGGGCAAATAGCACGGGCTATGGTGAGCCCATAGTGGACTTACCTGGCACAGGAGCGATGCCGTCTGGTCTCTCCGCCTTGAGAGTTGTTATTGTTTCAGATTTGGCTACTCAGGACGAAGTGTCCATGCAGTACGGGCTATGGTAAGCTCGTAAAACCTTGAGAGTTGTTGTTGTTTAAGATTCACTACTCAGAACGATAAGTTCCAGTAGCACGGGCTATGGTGAGCCCGTAAGTGGAGGCCTTTTGGAGCCATTATCTGTATCAGTGGCTGATACTAGAGATGTGGCGATGGATGGGGGTCTTCATGATGGTTTTCAGCTTGGAGGGCTGGCTATACCAGTTATGGAGCTGGTGGGGTTAGTGTAGACCTCTAGGTTTTCCGTTTTTTCTTTGCCTGCGACTTTGGCTGAGCAGTGCTGTCGTTGGAGTTTGGTGACGTGGCCTCCATGAGGAAGTCTTGAACCGTGTAGGTGTCATATTTGTGATGCGGCGGTGGAGCTCCTACTATGATTTCCTCGTCTGAGGAGTCCGTAACCTCCGTAGTGGGCGTTTGTCTTTCGCCTCGCAGCCTTAGGTAGGTTTAGGTGTCGTTGATTGGTGGTTGTAGCTATTTCAGGAGCGTTGGTGGTGCTGTTATCGTTTGTAGACAGCACGTCTGCTAGCGCGGCTGCTGAGATAGTGATGGTAGGAGTGTTGGGAGCTGGAGAAGAAATTACCTCTGTGTCGCCCGGGTCATGGGCGGTTCTGGAGTCGGTGTTGAAGTTGACCATCTGGTGGTAGTCTCCGGAGTGGTAGAGGAGGCAGTGAGATTTACGCTAGTGGCTATGATGGGGGCCAGGCCATTGTCTATGTATAATGCGTTTAGTTCACTGACAAAGCGCTGGTTGTCTGGCCTGCAAGCTTTTCCGCTAGTTTAAGAAGACCAGGGATAATGCCTGCACGTGATGCAGGGGGCTGTGAAGGAGCCTGTGGGACCTTGGGGACCTTGGGTCCCCAATAAGAAGGCTGTGTCGCCTGCTGGGAGGAGCCACATGTTGGTAGGACCGGAAAGTCTTCTGGTCGACTAGTGAGAGCTAAGGTGGTGAGTTGAACGCTTGGGGCTCTGGTCGAGGAGGTAGACGAGTTGTTTCTTTTGGCTTCAACCTGGGCCTTGATGATTTACTGTCTGCGGGGGCAGCGGTAGGAAATTGCGGGGTGATTGCCATCACAGAGCAAGCAGTGATGGACTGTTGCCTTGCATATGGAGTAGTGATGGTCCAGTGCGCACAGGCTGCACCTCTGGACAGGGTGCTGACACTTGTTGGTCGGGTGGGAGAGCTCGTAGCACTTAAAGCACTGCTGGATCTCATGGTATCGTTCCTTTTTTATTTGGTGGGGTGGTCCATATAGGACCATATAGTGACACCTCAAGGCCTTGAGGTGCCACTATATGGTCCTGAATGTTAACATATGGTATTTGAATGTTAACATAGTCAAGCTGGGAACCATCATACAGTTACATCTTGCGAACAGCTCCTCTCTGCCTGGGTGGGCGCCGATTTAATGTTTTCTCTGCTGAGATGACTAAACCTAGGCCCTGACATAGTGTAATGCAGAGTTAAGAGTGTTCTGCGTGGTGGCATACCCAATATCAGATATCAGTATGTATCATTATATCATCATGGCTAATGATATGCACATTGGGTTTGTTCCGTACAGAGTTTAACAGCGTGTTTATTAAGATATTAAATAATGTAGGATTCAGGACACCTCCCTGTGGTTTACCCAGTTCGAAGTATCTTGTTACACTCTTATGCCCCTGGAAACCTCCTAACGAGCAAATGATTTAGCTAAATTTGGAGCACCCAGTGCTGAGCCCCACAAGGTTCCCGTGCCGTCCTCTATGTATTCCACAAGGTCGAATTGCTGATCATTCCCAGGACGCACGATCTGTATAATACTGATTGTTTTACGTAATTATTATATTTTTAACATATGTTACCCAATACCCATCGGCTGTTTGAGGGTGGAGGGCAGAGTACATGTGGGGGTAAAGAGTACATGCGCGGATACAGAGTACACTCGATGGTACGGAGTTTGTGGTGATACAGGGTACATATAATTCATTGTGTCGAGGGACAGGTTGTTTTAGATTCAGCCACTTGGAACAAAAAGTCCAAAAATAGCACGGGCTATGGTGAGCCCGTAGTGGACATACCTGGCACAGGAGTGGGCTGTAACTGCTGGGCGGGGGACAGGAAGCCAGAGTGTATTTATACACGTAAGGTTTATATCGAGGTCACTCCTCCCCCCTCACCAAGGCCGAATTACTGACCCTGCCAAGGATACAACTCCACAAGAAGCTGACTAACTCCCGAGTACCTACTCACTGCTAGGTGACCAACCATTTGTCCCGCTCGGGATTCTAACCTGGAATTCTCGATTGTGCGTCGTGAACGAACCCGTCAGTACTTCCGGGATCCTAGCACATCACAGGGTGCACGTGGTGATACAGAGTGTATGTGCTGTAGTATTGGACCCAATACCTTTTCTGTGAGTGTTATGGTCCCTATTTCCGTCGCGTGGGGGGGGGGTGATTCCCATACCCATCCTGTGAACGGTATTGGTCCCCCATACCCATCCTGTGAACGGTATTGGTCCCACATACACATCCTGTGGGTGGTAATTTATACATTTTATTAATTTTGCTAGTATTTACCTACTTAAAATTTTCTTAGATTAAGGACCTGCCCGAAACGCTGCGCGTACTAGTGGCTTTACAAGAATGTAATTACTATGCTGTGTGTCCTCACAATCCCAATGTACCTTCTTGTATATATAAATAAATAGTGTAGTGTACCCAACCCTATACGTTTTCTATAAGAATGTAGAATCCGTTTTCTTTCATTTGTCTAGAGCATATCCTATTATATATACTATAATTTGATACCACTTGAATTTTTTTGTTTAATATATATACAAGAGTTCTTACATATACAAGAGTATATGTAAGAGTTCAACTATACAAGAGTTCTTGCACGCTTAGCATTTTGGACAAGTCTTTAATCACATGTTCCACGGAATATGACCACGCCAAATCGTTTAAAAAGTTCAAATTCAAATGTTTATTTAGGTAAAGTACATACATACAAGGGGTGATACAAATATTGATGAATTTATAGATAAAGCTAGTACATACAATGCCTAAAGCCACTATTATGCAAAGCGTTTCGGGCAGGAAAAACACTAAGACTAAAACTTAATACTAATTGAGATTAAAGTATGAAATGTGTTGAGAAAATATAAAAAGGGGGGGAAAATGGCAGAAAAACAGCAAAAATACAATTTGGTCGACAAACAGCACTGTTTAAAAGTAAGACATGGGTGAGGTAGGTTACAGGGAGTTAATTAGGTAGTGCTTAGTTTTTATCTTAAACTGGTTGAGAGGTGTACAGTCTTTAACATGATTGGGAAGGTCATTCCACATTCTGGGTCCCTTGATTTGTAGAGCATTTCTAGCTTAAGTCGTACTCTTGGAATATCAAAAAGGTATTTGTTTCTGGTGTGGTGCTCATGGGTTCTGTTACAACCTTCAATGAAGCTTTTAAGGTCAGGATTGGCATTACAGTTCAGCATTTTATATACAGTATATATATTATAATACACATGAGAGGATGTGCGTGACTTAATATCTAACATATTCAGAGATTTGAGTAGGGGTACTGAGTGATGTCTGGGGCCAGAGTTGGATATTGTCCTAATAGCAGCTTTGTGTTGAGTAATTAGAGGACGTAAATGATTTTGTGCAGTAGAACCCCAAGCACAAATACCATAGTTGAGATAAGGATCGATGAGGGAGTAATAGAGGGCAGGGAGAGGTACATAATATCTGATCTTAGAAAGAATGCCAACAGTTTTTTAAACTTTTTGATATATTTAGAATGTGTCCCTGGAAATTCAGTTTTAACAACCAGGTACCCATTTCACTGTTGGGTAAACAGAGGGCTACAGTTTATGCCCAGTAAATCCTCCCCAGCCAGGATACAATCCCAGGCCAAAGCGCTTGCGAAATGCCAGGCAAGTGTCTTAACCACTACACCACACCATGGGGACACCAAGGATTGGTACCTGGTGATGGCTAATAACAATCTACCACAGGGAAACTGGGAACATTAGCATCATAGGAACTATGAGCATTATGTGCCCCAAGAACTGTACTATGGAATCCAGAGGACGGGATGCAGCAGGGTTGTTGCTCATGTCAGTTATTCCATCATCCGAGCTTGAAATTTAGGTTCCAATGCCTCGTTGCTGCACTTTGTCTATATCTGTGATCAAAACTGGGAGCAATATCTGAAACCAACCTTTTTGCCAATGAGGAATTTCACGAGGCATAGTTGACTGCCGTCTAAATGATAAGTTTTATTCATTTCACTTCCCTGTACTCATTGCAATATACTGTACCAATTTAATTGTCCGATTTACTTGACAAGATATAGTATGTTGGCCCAAGAACAACTCTTAGATCCCCTTCCTACAATGTAATTGTATCTTTTTTTTTTTTTAGTTTAAAAAAAAAATTATGCTCGATATAATTTTTGTAATTATACTGGAGGATTATTTTAAGGAAAAGGAGCTTTTCTAGTAAAGATTTCACACAGCCATCACTGCATAACTAGGAAATAAATAAAAGACTGTAGGAATACATTAAAATATATTATATTTTTGGAACTAATATTTACTATTTTTAGAAAATATTCTGAACTATATGTATATACAATGGAGCAAGAACTGAACTAAAACTCACCAAAGTTTGCTACTACACTGTGCAGCATAGTGCTTGTTACTGTCATGGAATCTTGTTACAGAATTACCCAAGGACATCCACTTAATACTACCAATATGGACCCATACCGTCAATAATGGCTTTAGGCATTGTATATACTAGCTCTACCTATAAGTCAACCAATCTTTGTAAAAATTTATTGTATGCATGTACCTTACCTAAATAAACATTTTATTTTATTTATTTTTTATAATAAATGCCATTTACCCATATTCATAATTGCCTAAATTGGTCAGCATTTCATATTTTGAGCCACACTACCACAATTCCCAATTTTTTGTAAAATTTATTTAAATAATGTAGGCCAATGTCAAAAATGGTAGTGTCAAACTTCTCAACAAAAGTTTTAAAAGCAACATAGAATGTAACAATGGCAAATTACACTATAGTAACTGTTTACATACATGATCTTACATACATGATCACCAATCACTGCATGCTGTCCTGTAAATGTCTATTGCTCCTAAAATACCCAACAAGAGCACTCAAAATGTATCACGTCTTACCAAGAATATGATTAACAAAGTGAATCTAAGTTTTATAAAGGCAACAAATGGGAACAAATTTACACACAAAGTACAGCTATAAAATACTTCAGATATTAAGAGTTTACTCAACAATCAAATTTATTATTAAAGCAATTTTTAAAGCCATAACATCACTAAATTTAAGAATTCACATGTATTAGTAATACTATATAATATATGAAAGTGAGCTACAGTATTAGGCATTGCCCCCAATAAACTTAAATCTCAATTCACCATGTTATGCATGAAATGCTGCATGTAACTCATGCCTTTATAAAAGATACAAATACTGTACTTACCAAGTAACCACTGTAACTGATCTTTTATATCTTAATACAGTAATGAGAAAAATCAGGAGCCATGAGTATTCAAACCTTGGCTCTGGGTACTCCCAATACCGACTTTCATCGATACATCATGCTAATACAACTTCTTTGTGCAAATAAATAATAATCCTATTATTTATATTATTATTATTATTGAGTAATAACACTTCCATGATGCATCAATGAGCAAATCTGTACAAGCCACGATGAGGGTTCGAACCTATGCGCCGAGTGTTCCTAGGCACACGCTCTAGACAACTATGCCATAACATGGTAGTACCCCAGGTTACAATCCTATTGACCATGTCATGCCCTAGTTGTCTAGAGCGTGTGCCGGGGAACACCCAGAGCACAGCTTCGAACCCTCATCACATGGCCCCTACAGATTTGCTCATAATTATTGTACCAGTGTTATTACAATGCTCATGTCATTTTTTATTCATAAACAAGTACTGTAATTCTCACATATTTCAACTAAATATATTTTGCACTGCAAAAGCAATAAAATAATTTCTTTAACTTGACATTTTACCCTATAGACATGAAACACCCTAGTGTACACAATTGTTTATTAATAAAGTACTTCTCAAAGGAAATATATTTTCTGCTTGAAAAATTGTACACTTGCCAGACTTAAAGCTTTTAACATTTATACATTACAACTCACATTTTATACACATGAAAGGATACAGTACTATTACAGAATATAATATGATTTGTATTGTGCATTTTAGTCTTCTAAATTATAATTATTTTACTATATTTCTAGAAGGTTCTCCAACATACTGCACCTATTTTACTAATGTAATATTTACTCTGTGATAAGCATTGGCCAGGACTCCACGGAGGTTCCATATATTCTCAAAGTTCTCTGGCTGTGTATTATATTGAGAATCAACTGCCTTGACACAAACCTGTGTCGTTGACCCCTTATTAAGAACAGGTATTTCTGCAGACCATAGAGTCCAGCCCCAGGCCCGAGGGTGGCGGTTGTCGTCGGACTCCAACACATCAGCTTCTTGCCAGTTCTTTCCACCATCACCAGAAACATCAACTCTGATGATTTTTCTACCTCCTCCACTCCAAGCATACCCTAAAGAAAGAAACCTTTGATGAAAAAACACAAATGCAACAATAAACACAGAAGCAGCAGGCTTCTGCTGCTTCTCTTAACTACTAGAAATGTGCAACTTCCACAACTATATTAAATCTATGGGCACAATTTTCATGAACACTAACAGTGCTACAAGATTTTTGGATCTACTTCCAGGTGCACATAAATGAAAAATAAGAAACCCAGCGCTGAATGGAGTGAAAAGTCACTTTCTGGTGGTTTTCCTGGATGGCTTCCTAAACTACCCACTGGGTTAGCTTAAAGCCATTACAAAAGTCAAATGCCTACAGAAGATGAGAACAAAATCTGTTCTACCAAATAAAAACAAGGCAGTCTATGGATAAAGATTAACTCAGGTTGAGGGGAAAACTCACTAGTGAGATGGGGCACTCCTAAAACATGCAACTGAATGGAGACATTGGCAACACTGACAAACTATGTACACACACACACTGTTACACTTCCCAACCACCAGATGGCACCTCTAGCAACTCGAGGCTCCAGCCAGCTGACCACTATCGAGCCAGTCAGCTGGCTTCAGCCAGTCCTGCTTCACCCGTAGATGCAGGACTTCAGAGTCCTGCACCTACGGGTTCCAGACAGATCATCACAGCCTCTTTCACCCAAGGCCGGCTTCCATCAAGACCAAGCAGAAGGAAGAGTAATAATTCGTTATATTATAATTATTATAATGATAATTATAAAATAAACATTAATAAATCTATATTTAACAAAAAATTTTGATTGAAGAAAGGCTTGGAACAAATTGCTTATTTGAATGGAAGACTGTTATGTTAATATTAATGGTGCATTTAGCAACAATAGCACTGTATAGGTATTTATAGTAGTAAGGGTATTAACAATGATAGCAGCCACACCACCACTAATGGTTTTGATGCGAGGCGAGTAGGAAGTCATCACATCAAGGTGTGGAATGTCTTGACAATTTAAGTCTACAAACCTACAAAAAGCAAGACGAGGCAACATTTGATGCCACTTACCTCTAATTTTAATTTTGCCATCCACAACTTTAACTTTCTCTCCCTCTACAGGATCACAAATTGCAGAGATGACTGGAAGTTCTTGAATTGCAGGAGACTTAGTAAAATCAACTGTATCCCAATCTACATTTGGTGCAAATCCTTTATAGTCATTTTGTTGCCAATGTGCATCAGATTCCTTTTTCGATACAATAATTCTTCCTGAAAGTCAAAGATAGAAAACAATGATTTACATCCCTCCCATTGAATTATTCAGTACAGTGTGATGGCAATCATCTGGACCAACTGGCACTTAAAGAGGTCTGGACAAGAAAATCCGGACATCTTAATAAGAGATGCCACAATTTTTTTGCCACAACCATTTTTAAGGGAGCCGGTGGTTGAATGGACAGAACACTGGACACGTGATCCTGGGTTCGATCCTGGGCGTCGGCGAGAAACAATGGGCAATAGTTTCTTTCACCCTGATGCCCCTGTTACCTAGCAGTAAATAGGTAGCTGGGAGTTAGACAGCTGTCACGGGCTGCTTCCTGGGGGTGGAGGCTTGGTCAAGGACCAGGCCGGGGGGAGAACACTAAACCCTGAAATCCTATTTTCTGAAATCAGAAAATCCCTAGATAGGCAGATGGCAGGGTATAGGTAAGCCCAATGTGAAGTGCTTATGGTCAAGGAGAAATTCACTCCTGTCAAGCAAGATCTTTTGGAAAATTTATGTTCTGAAAATAAATTTAGAATTTTTTTCCCCCAATCCTAGGAATCATCCAAGCAGCAGTTTGGAATGTGTTGTGGTAGTCGAGCCTCAATCATAGGCTACAAGGGACTAAAGTAATGTATTTTGAAAAGACCTGTAGTCATCTCATGCTCCAAGTAATTAATGAACCTACCGCTAACTTAGTTTTGTTATGTATATGTTTATATACAGAATATAGAACACCACTGAAACTCAAGTTTAATTTGGTACAAATAAATATCCTCTATTGCCGAATTAATCAGACTTTCCTGAAAAATGGTGGTTAGTGCTCATTAACCAGATATGCTCTAGTTAAAGGGGCTAGTAAACTGGAAATTTCCATGTCCAGAAAATCTGTCTGAAAAAGTGATTCAGATTAGGTTTGTTTTTCCACTGTATATGGGTAGTCACTGGTCATGGGCTACCCTAGGTGGAAAAACATATTGCCCTACATTGTTACATAAATTTCCAAAAATGTCAAACTCTTTCAACGGTTTCCCCAACAAAAACTTGAAGTTCGAAAATTTGCATCTAAAATTAGTACCAGAATTGAGACGCCTCAGGAGCTATGATGAAAGGTTGAGAGAATTCACCCACATAGCATTAGGAGGAGAGAGAAACAGAATATGATAAATACATGCTAAATTTTGATGGGAATATACAAAGTGGACAAAGGAAGCCTATTTATATTAAAAAGAGGTAGGAAACTTCAGTGAAAGCTGGAAAATCAATTGTAAAAGAAATGTAAGGAAGTACTCATTCCCTGTATCTTTGTGGCTGCTATCACACATGTTTTTGTCAACCGATAGCTTGCAGAATGACCACCATTGTGATGGGTGGTGCTGTGTGTAGTGGCAGAAATATATATGTATCCTCATGTGTACCTGGCCCAGGGTGACTTCCGTGGGATATCTTCATACAATAAAGGCCAATAAAACCTGGCCACTATGAGCTCTAAATAATATAAAAATGAAGCTTTTGATCCACAATATTAAAGAATTTTATTTTGTCTGAAAGCAAAGCAACTTACCAAGCCATTTAACATGTCTAGCTCCAACAACTCCAGGCACAATAACACGAAGAGGATAACCATGATCTCGAGAAATAGGCTCTCCATTCATCTCGTATGCCAGAATAACATCCCCATGAGGATCTAATGCCTTCTCAATGGGAATACTTGCACCATAAGGCATACTGGCAGGATCAGTGTCTAAGCCCTCAAACTGAAATGAACAGAATTTACTTTAAAAGTAAGTTTACCAATACACAAGTCATATCAAATGTCGGGATAGACAATAAAAGTACTGTACTCGACTACTTGTGTGCACAATAAAAAAATTTATACAAATTATATTAAAAACGGCAACAATTATTGATAGTTAAAAATGTGTGCATGTCAAAGTCGCTCGAGCAGTTTTACCCATCTTTACTTCCAGTGAAAGAAACTATCAGACTTGCTGAGAAAGGGTTGTTCTGGTAAGCATGCATCAGGCAAGACATTAGAAGCAAGAACATACAGACGAGGGACTATAATCTGCGAGTGAAACACGTGGACAACTGTGCCTCTAAATGTTCAATTACTTCAAACTAAGCTGTAGATTATACTCGTGAAAAAATCAGCTTCATAAAGCAATACCAAATATATTTAGTACAAATTTGTTTAGAGTACATATGTATGTTTGTATGCAAGTATGTATATATGCATGCATGCATGCACACGTGCAGGCACACTTAAAACTATACAACTTCATTCTACATACATAAAGACAAAAATTCTATGTTACAAAAAATGTACTGTAGAGATGAATCTTTCATAGTATTATATGTCACATTTTGAAATTAATAGCAGAAGTACCATAATCTGCAGAACATTCATCACTACACTATAATACTACAACAGGGGGCATAAACAAACCTGAATGTGCAGAGCATTGGTTTTACCTTCCTGAACACCCATGTCTTTCAAAACATCACAAAGGCGTGTCCCACTCCAAGTTGCATTTCCAATAGCAGCTTGGCCCCAACTCAAGCCTTTCACTGGCTTTACCTGTGAATACAATAAATTTAACATTTTTAGAACATTTAGTGGGACTATTCCAAAGCTAATAGTAATTCACTGGTTGCCTGTTAAATAATGTAAAAAATTAAATGCCTATTGCAGATGCTAGATTACATGTTAAATTGTAATGACGGTCTTGGCCTCCACCACTACCTCACCTAACTTGTTCCAACCGTCTACCATTCTGTTTGCGAAAGTGAATTTTCTTATATTTCTTCGGCATCTGTGTTTAGCTAGTTTAAATCTATGACCTCTTGTTCTTGAAGTTCCAGGTCTCAGGAAATCTTCCCTATCGATTTTATCAATTCCTGTTACTATTTTCTACGCAGTGATCATATCACCTCTTTCTTCTGTCTTCTAGTTTTGGCATATTTAATGCCTCTAACTTCTCCTCATAGCTCTTGCCCTTCAGTTCTGGGAGCCACTTAGTAGCATGTCTTTGCACCTTTTCCAGTTTGTTGATGTGCTTCTTAAGATATGGGCACCACACAACCGCTGCATATTCTAGCTTTGGTCTAACAAAAGTCGTGAACGATTTCTTTAGTATTTCTCCATCCATGTATTTAAAAGCAATTCTGAAGTCAGAAAATGTAGCATAGGCTCCTCGCACAATGTTCTTAATATGGTTCTCAGGTGATGATTTTCCGTCTAGAACCACCTCTAGATCTATTTCTTTATCAGAATTCTTTAAAGATTTCTCACATAATTTATAGGTTGTGTGGGGTCTATGTTCTATTCCACATTCCATAACATGGCATTTACTCACATTAAATTCCATTTGCCAAGTGGTGCTCCATATAATGTACTTATTTTGTCCAAGTCTTCGTGAAGGGTATGGCAATCATCCAAGTTTCCTATCTTCCCTATTATTTTAGCATCATCAGCAAACATGTTCATATGATTCTGTATTCCATCTAGTAGATTGTTTATGTAAACAATGAACATTACCAGTGCAAGAACTGAACCCTGTGGTACTCCACTTGTGACATTTTGACAATTGTGCAAAGACACGCAGCAAGCCTGCTACTCACACTGTCATCCTACCAGTGCCCTCACCTGTTACAAATGCTATATTTATAGTTAATGTACTCTACTCCATATTTTTGTTAATTACATAAACAAATTTAGTTAGGGAACATAAATACTGCACTATTGTGAATGAACTAAAAAGTGAAAATAACTATGGACATAGAAACATCCGTGGTGTATACTGGAAGCATTTATCACACACCCTAGTGTTGGCAAACCCAGAATCTAGCACCAACATACCAGCAGAGCCCACCACCCAGAAAACCAAACCAGTAAAGATGTAAATGCTTTATTTCAACTCTGACTTATATTTTGCATCCAAATTTATGCTTCTACAAGTTAATTTTGTTTGCACAGACTGACTGGCATATATACCGAGAGCTGCACGTTAGAAGTTATACGATTAATTTTGATTCAAACAATAGTCATCAACTAGAAATCAATACACACCTTGGCCATCTCTGATCTCCGGTTACCACCACATTGAATAGCAGCAGTGATGGTATATTTTGGGTATTTCTTAATATCTGCAAGTTTGAAGGTCTTCTCTTTCTGTGTGCCTTCATCATATATCTCCAGTTCATAATTTGCTTCATCAACATCCGGAACGGGCAGATGATTTCGCACATAAAACAGCTCACTGAAATTGATGTGCTAAAGTTAAATGCAAGTTATAAGAAATTATGTTGAAATCTCATTAAGTGCCAACACAGGTGTCAAACATTTCTCTACTTTAAAAAAAGAAAAAAAGAAAATAACTCAGCACAGTGGTTAAGAGTAACATAGTTGCTCAAATTCTCAGAGGTTTTATTGCAGGCAATTAGATGTGCCCAAGCTTTGAATTTTGCTCCGACTGTGGGGCTGGGCCTTCCTTGGTTGTCAGCGAAGACAAAGGGAAATGCAAGCTAACAGGTCAGAGTTCCTTCTCTTCAAGTTGACTCTACTCTAGCCACATCACATCCTGGTAGCACACAAGACTAGTTCTCCGAGGCCTGCAGATGGAAGTGTAGTACAGTAGATACCCATGTGCTCGTGTTGGGATTGAACGAGGAGCAGGGCAGGCACACGTGTTGGGGGTTCTATGTTTTTGCCGAGGAAGTGGTTGGGTTAATTAAAACTTTCGCATTCTGACCTCTCCGAGCTCCCTGGGGGCCCACTTAGTGACCAGTAAAGTGTTGTCATCATTTTTCGTTTTCCAAGTTATTTGTTGGGTTATAACTAACTACAAATTTGGTGCCAGTTCCAAAATGAATCCTCTAGAGAGGGGGGACGGAGGGAATTATCAGGAGAGCGCGCCAAATCATTACGACTATACAGTATAGCACTGGGAAGGGGTCAGGATAAGAATTTGGGATGGGACGGAGGGAGAGGAATGGTGCCCAACCACTTGGATGGTTGGGAATTGAACGCCAACCTGCATGAAGAGAGACCATCGCTCTACCGTCCAGTCCAAGTGACTGGACAATAGATGCAAAAAAACAAGTGTATTTATACAGTAATTGATTATGCATGATCTAGATGAATATATAAATGTTTATGAACATTTTAACATTCCTCTATCAACTGCCTCCGACACACTGCTCATGGAAATCCTCAAATTTTTAGACATTCAAGTTATACCAAATCCTGAATAATAGACAAATCTTAACCAAGCAGTACCAGCTATACCAAGATATTACTTCATTATGCCAAGTACTTTAGATAATTATTACAGGCAATTTATGTCAGACTATTCTAGGTAAAGTCTGAAAAATAATTACTTGGGAGTGATTAGATTATCCACCAGTAAAGATACAGGTGGCTCTGCATTGAAAGGTTTCTTAGAAGAAGGCTTCAGTGTTACATGCCTTCTTGGCTCGTTGCTGTACGGATCACTCATATCTTTGACTGAGGCACCAACATCGTCAGGAGCCAAATTTCCTGAAGAAACGGTACAAGTATTTAAAAAATTAAATCTTTAGTAAAGGAACATAAAAAGAAAACTTCAAAATATCATACTTTGCTTAAAGCCAAATTTGTGACATGGGGCCTACACAGTGTTCAGTCAAGAAATGTAAAGGCCTAATGTATAGATACATTTTGGGATAAACATAACACACATGGACAAAGAGAAACCATGTCCTAACAAAGTTCAGTTTGATAAATAACTGCACAATAAATATTTAAGTGTACTGTTCATAAATTAGGTATACTGTACATTAGTAAATATATTGAGGGCCAAGCAAAAATTAATATTTAATCTTTAAAGTATAAAATGATAAAATATAACTTACCTATTCTGTAAGTCTCGAACCATTCTAAAACATGCGGGTTCTTGTGAACTGCATACAGTGCCCAGAAAGGCTCCACAGACCCACCAGCACCCATCATAATTGTATCTCCACCTGAAGTGTACAAAATTATATCAAATGTACATCAATAACTGTTTAATAGTAAACAATATTTACCAACAGTACAAAACATGGCTTTAAGAGTACAGTACAAGAAAAGTAACTTTCCAGGCCATGACATTTGGTACAGTCAGAAATGAGATTTACAATATTAGACACCAGAGCCAGAGGGAACAGTCCCTATAACATCATCTAAAACTTTTAGGCAGGGATTGCTGGAAATTAGCTCAATCTAGCCTAGACATACCAAAAGTGGTGTATTCCACAAAAACTAGAAGCCATTTAGAAGTCTCCCTTATGATCACAGTGTCACTGGCCAGCAACAAAGAGCAGTGCTGTCCCCACAACATGGGCCTCTAGACACCCCCCCCCCTTCCCCAACTCTTCACAAAAATAACAGGAAAGAACAGGAGGGACTAAGACAACTGTATAATACAGCTCAGAAGATGCTTACGACATTCATTCCAGTTAGATTTTCTGAGATGTTGCTTTCTAAGGCAAGTGTCACACGGGGAAAAAAAAAAAGAATGAAACTAAACAGAAAAATGGAAAGAGACTCATTAAAAAACTATGTACAGTATTAACTGGAAGCTAATGGAGGTGTAAAGAAATGATAGACCAACCAATGCCACACACTGCCAGAGAAAATTTGGTAGTTTTCCATGGAGACACTGTTGGTCTTCCAAAAATCGTCACTGATCAAAACAAGACATTAGCCAAGAAGAAAGAGTTTCAAGTTGCAAAAATTACAAATAACTTGGGCTCTAGGGGTAGGCCTGTGGCCGACTTAACTAAACCAGTTTTCCCAAGAGCAGAGATATACAAATTTTGGTACAAGCAAGCACAGCACAAGAATTGACAAAGCAATATATAACATGGGAGGATTTTAAGTAAATACTGTACATAATATTGAAACTATGCAGCTGGACAGTATGCTAGACACCATGATGCAGGAACCAACCCTCAACTATAATCAAACAAATGAACTCTTATCATATTGAACTAAAAAGGGACCAAGGATTCAAATGTAAGCAAATATACATTTATACCAAAACATCACAAAACCTAGTCTATCCAGCAATACAGTGGATGATTAGATGAGTGAGGGATTGGTGAAGTGATGGAGGGAACAGTGAATCAAAACCAACTGGCACACCTGAAAAATGGTTGTCAGCCAGGAAGTTGAAAAAGGGCAAAGTATTGAGAAAGAAAAAATCGAGGATAAACCACGAATCAGAAGAATCCTCCTTGAGAACCAGAAATGGCTAGGACACCGGTTGGAATGAGAAAGTAACAGATGTAACATCCTTCTCTAGTAAATCACTAACAAGTTTGATATAGGCAAAGGCAGCTGGGAAGGAACCTGGAGAAGAGAAGACAAGCCCAACAGAGGTCCTGAGGTGGAATGCCCAAATGTCCCAGGCCAAAGCCTACAGAAAAGCTTAGACATTTCCCCCCCCACCCTATCTGGATTTAGTACAAGTATGCATCACCAGAATCAACATTCTCCTCAAAAGGGAGAACTTACCTCCCCCAAAGCCAAATAACCTGAACAGCTACCTGCAGGGAAACTTGGGCACTAGTGCAGAATTTTTGTTGACATTTGGCAAAATACTGCTGCCCATATTAACATTTCCCCCCCCCCTCTTGCTAGTCAAGACATGTAAATACTAGTTTATCGTTCATCACTTATGGTGAACAATAAACTTGCTGCCGTTAGCACCAACAATGATGTCCAAGCTTTAATGTTTGCTACTCTATGACAGCAAAGAAAACAGCAAAATTATATGAAATTCTAATCTTCCTAATACAAACTGATGTTATCACCTGGGTGCTTTGGAATAAGGTCAGTAATATCATACACTCCATGACGGTATGATACCCATACACGATCTTTCATGGTGGTATGCTTGGATACGTCATCATGAGTGTACTCGGGTAATCCATTCTGGTAAGCTCCAAATTTGTCCAGGTCCTTGTCTGTTTCCGTGAGTGAACTGGCAGCATCTGTAGAGATTTAATAAACTAATGTTTAAAATGTACGAGTGTCTACATATACAGTACTGTACACACATACTGTACTTTCACATACATTATGAAAACTAAATTTCTATGGCAAAACTATACACATGGATGGATGGAGGCATCATAATTAAAATATTTCCAAATACAGATACTCTGTAGTCTCTATCACCTGTTAACCATTACATTTCCATTGGTGGCCTTTTATAGAATTTTTCTCAGAAAATTTAGCCCTTCAAAGTTTTAAAGATCTTTGTAGAAGCATCTGCAAAGTTTTATGGAATGCCTAACAAATGAAAAAATAAAAGATTATTATTTTGGATACAATCAGATTCTCTACAAATAAAAGAATTATGATTTCCAACAGGAAAAAAAGAAAATACCTGCTTGACGGTTAAAGTTGAGCCAGAGAGCGACACCAGCCCCTGCCCCAATAAGGGTAGCTGCCACATGGCGTTTATGCCTTCTTTGTTGCTCCCAGTTGCTATGGTAGTGCTCTTGAGAATACCTCAGATGAGCAGCAAGCACATTTGTGCTTGCACGGTGCTTTTCTGCCAGTCTTGGGGCATTAATTAAATTATCAATATTTAAAATGTAGAATCATTATCAATACAGTAATGTCAAATACATTATGTCCTAAACCCATTTCATCCTGAAGGACTAATAACGATTCTTTTAATTAACAGGGGGATCAAGACCGTTATGCAATTCTAGGGTAAAGCAAAGTTGTGTTCTAATAATAATTTGTATTTCTGGTATTTCAGCTATTTTGACTATTTAAAAAAATGTTTATTATTTCAGCATGTTTAGATAAAATTATATTTTGGCAGAATTCAGCATCAGTGTAATCAAACTCCTAGCAGAGATACAGCACCAAACAAAGATAGACGAAAGTTGACGAAATGAGCACCGAGGTTGACATTTCACACAAAAGCATCGATACCATCCATGAACACTCGGGAATATCCGCCATTTTTTTTGCAAGACTGGTTACTCAAAACCTCAGCACTTTGTATCAAAACCAGAGAATATTTGCAAGTCACAATATCATGGCTTAAATTTTCTGACACGTCAAAAGGCGATTCTGTTGATCAAACTATGTATCCACCACACACGCACACACAAAAAAAGAAGATGAAAATGTTAATATTATGAGAAGTAATTAGCTCTCCAGGTATAAATGGCTAGGAGGCAGGGCATAAAGTGCTAGATCTCGCTCCCCTGTAGTCACTGCTAGCTTAGCAGTATAGAAAGCCAACATAACCCTAAGAATAGTCAAACGAATCTTTAACTTGAAGGAGCGGAAGTAGTTCTTCACTTCAAGCTGCCAGCTTCCTGTCCTCATTGGAGGTAAGCATGGCTTACTAATGATAGGATAGGTAAGTGATAGTGATAGGTAAGCATGGCTTACTAATGACCTGAGAGCCCTACAGTGGACCTTCACACATGTCTACATTAGTGACAGAACTGGTGTGGAAGACTGGAAGGGGCTGGGAGCTCTGGGCCACACACCAGCTAGTGATGGGGTAGCGTCATCGAGCTCACACCGAGAGATTTGAACATTTGTTTACCGTGTTGGGGAAAGCAATTTGGCAGTTTTGAGGCTTTGGCCCTCTTGAAACCAGCAGTGGTCTGTATTGGTTTGCCGACTCTTGGGATGCCCTCCCAATGGGGTGGCACAGTGTCACCTGCTCTCTACGTACCTGGTCCCCTAGTAGGCCACCAAGTAAAACTCCACAGCTAGTGTGACCTAGTAGGCTAGAGCCATCTTGGCGGGATGGCTTCAGGGAGCCACAAGGGGCTCCCACCCAAAAAAAGTGAAGAGATTACAAAATGAATACCTGAACTAAATCATAAGCTACTGTATAAAGAAAGATTATAGAGATAAAAACAAAAATTGAAGATTAATCAATTTTCAAAAATCAAAATATGAAAAGCGAGATAAATGCCAATTCCAATACTACACCACTGGCAGACACAAATTCAAGGTAACAAAACACTTTAAATACTTTATCACATTCTCATTGCTTCTCAAAAAATTGCAGATAAATGAATGACATGCACTGAAAAAGTAAAGCAGCACATGAGAGCCCTTGTCATTCCACTTAACACATTTATATGCCAGGGACACAAATTAAATTTGTTAATGTTTTATGCAATAATAAAAGCACAAGGTATGTAAATTTATCTTATTTTGTTGAACATATTGTCCATTTGTCACACCGAGTAGAGAATAGGATAAAAATCATAGAAAGTTTTAGAAGAAATTGGGGGTACAATACAATACATGAACAAAAACTTATTCTTACCCTCTTATAAGCAATCGAGGAAGCATGACTTGTTCTAATAAAGGACTCTGAAAAATAAAACAATGAACAATTTTAATTGCTATACTGTTGGATATTATAATTTTTTTAATAGCAACTGATGCTGCACAATTTACTGCACTTTCCATCATCTTTTTCCAACAATAAAATGTTGAAAACAATTAGATACCTGTCAGCCATATATAATACAGTATTACACATGATTCAAGAATGGTTACTTACATTACATTGTACATATAATGTGGCAACATTCAGAACCAATTGCATATATTTTTGTAACGATTCATATTATTACCCGTCTCAAACCAAACTAAATCAACCAAAGTATAAATATCGTATAAATTTCAGTTGATCCAAGCAAGCACAGAGTTTCTGCTTCATAGCTCCTGAAAAACATCTTGCATTCTGTGTACTTTTAACTAATATTCCTGCATCATGCTTCCTCCAAACATACGTGGATCTGTAAACAGATTCAAGCTGGGATCCATCACATACAAAGATTACATTTTCCAAAGTGTTCCTGCTTTGTCGGAGTGGACTCGGATTTATTTTCTTTCGTCTTCTCTCCCAAGTTGAACGAGCCTAGGTCCTGTAGTGTGTAATGCAGAGTTAGAAAACAAAATTAAGAGTGTTAGAATACCCAGTGGTATGTATCATATCACCATAGAGAGATATATTCGTTAGGTTTACTCGACGGCAGATTTATCGAAATATTAAACAAGGCTGTGCTTAGAACATATTTCTATGGGGTGTTTAGTTCCATCTCTTGTTACACTACTATGTCCTTTGAACTCTGATAAAGGGAGAGATCTAGGGGTGGTCCTAGGTAGAAAACTCACCCAAGGACCACATAAAAACATTGTGCAAGGAACCTGTTATGCTTTCCAACTTCAAAATCACTTTTAAACACATTGATAATGAAATATTAAAGAAACTTTTCACAACCTTGGCGAGACCAAAATTGGAACATGCAGTGGTTGTATTGTGCCCACTTTAAGAAACACATCAATAAACTGGAAAGATGCTGAAAAATTTAACTAAATAGCTTCCATAACTCAAATTCAAGAGGTATGAAGGCGTCTTTGACAATTCGCCAGCTTCCTGTTCCTTCCGAGACCACTAGAAAGCTAGTGGGCTGCAGGTAAAAATATAAATAAGCATTTCAAACAAAACTTTCAAAATTCATAACTAAATTGTTTGGCAAGACTTTAAACATATATTAGTAAAGGTCTTGTGTATGATGCGATTTCTATTCAATTTGTGCACAAGCAACACTTCACTAAAGCTTCTGATATGTACAGTACCACATGAAGGACTGGTAAGGAAATTACAAGCACAAGGAACAAATGGTAAAATACCAAAATGGATGAAACCATAATTAAAACAAAGCCAGCAGTGTCATCCTTAACAGAAATGAAGCTCACTGGAGAAATATGTGGCAAGTGGCATACCCAAAGGTTCCATCTTGGGGCCTACCCTTTTCATAATTAACATTAACAAGATGAGAAAAATACATCGTATTCCAGGGACCATAGGATTAAGGACTTGCCCGAAACGCTACGCGTACTAGTGGCTGTACAAGAATGTAACAACTCTTGTATATATCTCAAAAAAAAAAAAAAAAAAAAAAAATATATATACTGGCTGCATGTCCCCCCACACAATGATTTATTATTAATTATTATATATATAGTATACCTTGCTAAAGCAAACAAGCGAACACAGTACAGTTTCATAGGTGATTCTTTGATTGGAATTCACTAATAAATTTCAATATATCCAAGTATTTTTATTGTGAAATGCTGTTTCAACAAAGAGCAGTACTGTACTGTACATTAAGTCGGTCGCTTTCAACCAATGGTGCCCACTGGGAGGTAGATAAGAGCAACAATTAACACCGGATATATGACAAACTGCCTATAACCAGACGTGTCAGAGTAGTTGACAAATGGAATGTATTAGGAAGTGAGGTGGTCGTGGCAGATTCCTTACACAGTTTCTTACGATCTGTCTCTGGAAATGGATTAGCATCGTAAGTCGAGGCCCCATTGTAATTTATAATTAAATTATAATTATGTATTATAAAATTAAGTGTAATTATAATAATTATGTAATTATTATATTAAGTGCAAGCATAAAACAGCACAGGTACATTGTAGCTGAACTATGTGTTCAGTAGAACAACCATGATATATGTCAGCAGGTACTGCTGACAACAATGACACCTTTGTACACAGTACATATCACTGAGTACAAGAAATAATTACCCAATATATTTTGAAACGTTACCTTACTCTGCCTAACCCAAGTCAGCGCAGCCCGGGCCAACCCAACCCGAGTCAGTTCAACCCAACCCCAGAGTTAGCCCAGCTCAGTCTAACCTAAATTAACCCAGTCAAACTTAACCAAAGTCAACACAACCACATGTAAGCAACCTTAAAAGTGCCAACTCTAAACCTACCCTAACCAGACATGGCAATTCAAAATCATCGTTGATGTGTATGGGCTGTATAATACAATAATTAAGGCCTGCGTATAACATTAACGCGACTCCTCGACCGTGTGAACACACACACCACTCTCACCTACATTATAACTAATCTCGCCGCTGTTCGCACAATAACGTTACCGTTAGGGCTCGGGAAATGCTAAAGTTAACACTTTAAGATAGAGCTCCTCACCTGCCAAGAGAGAGAGAGTGGAGGAGCAGAAGAGACACTGGCGAGTACGTAGTAGCTAAGGTGGACGTGTTCCTGACGTCACAGGTCACCTCTCACTGGCCAGGGGCCGCCTCCTGCTCCTCCATCATCCACCGAATATATATTCACTCCGCGTCTCACACTTCTCTCTTTGGGGTGTATTAAGGGCAACCTCGGTCTCTCTTAGGAACTCTACTTCCTGCAGCAGCCCCACTTGCTATTCGAATCTTTTTTTCTTCAGGTGTTTCATGGGCTACTAATAACATCTATTGCGTGCCAAGCAGTTTCCCCATCAACCAAATTACGAGCAGCCTGGAGCCAGAAACAGGAACAGGTATATAAGCCCGCTAAATTACAGCAGCTTGGCACAGGAGACATCTCCCGTCACGCAGGGTGCAATCGCACCTCCACAGATCTCCAGTATCATCTCTTGATACTGGTAATGATTCAAAAGGGCCACCACTTGCGGTCTAATCATGCCCGTGCCATTTCTTGGGTGGGTTAATCTTTATCATCATCATCAGCAGCAGCTCGGGGGCTGGGCTGGCTTAAGATACCGGCTACTCTTACGGGGTATTCATGCCCGTGCCACCTCTTGGGTGGCTTGATCTTCATCAATCAATCACCGGCAACTCGCGGGCAGTTAGCCGGGGCACCACGCCACGTGTTTGGTAATTACCTAAGTGTAGTTACAGGATGTGAGCTAGGCTCATGTCCTGTCTTCCCAGTATGCTTTGTCATATAACGCTTTGACACTACTGACGGATATGGCCTTTACCACCTTCTCACTTAACTTCTTCCATTATGTTTGCAAGAGTGAACTCTAATATTTTTTCGGCAGCTTTATTTCCTTAGTTTCCGAACTGTGTTCCTTAGCTTGTATGTTGTAATAAAATATTCCTACATTTACAGTTGTTCTTCCTTGTTAAGATTTAAACAAAAATTGTACTTTTAAGGGCGCCGAAGTTCCCCAGCAAGGCTAGGGCCGGCCCTAGCACCACTCAGTCTCACTCCATAGCTGGTTCCACCTTGGAGGCACCTCGGTATAAGCCTAACATGCATATATATATACTGGCTGCATGTCCCCCCACACAATGATTTATTATTAATTATTATATATATAGTATACCTTGCTAAAGCGAACAAGCGAACACAGTACAGTTTCGTCATAGGTGATTCTTTGATTGGATTTCACTAATAAATTTCAATATATCCAAGTATTTTTACTGTGAAATGCTGTTTCAACAAAGAGCAGTACTGTACATTAAGTCGGTCGCTTTCAACCAATGGTGCCCACTGGGAGGTAGATAAGAGCAACAATTAACACCGGATATACGACAAACTGCCTATAACCAGACGTGTCAGAGTAGTTGACAAATGGAATGTATTAGGAAGTGAGGTGGTGGTGGCAGACTCCTTACACAGTTTCAAGTGTAGATAAGAGCCCAATAGACTCAGGAACCTGTACATCAGTTGACTAACAGTTGAGAGGCGGGACCAAAGAGCCAGAGCTCTTTGGATTAAGGATAAGATTCTAACACGAATCTTCTCTATTTCTTATGTTTTTCTTCACTGTCCAGGGTAGTTGAAAAATTAACTCTCTAAAGTTCATTTTCACACTTTATTTATGGTCTGATGCCTAGAAGCGTTTTGCAAGGCACTTCTTACATTTTCAAAGACAATTTTACATACTCTGTTGATGCTTATATTCGTTTTTGGGGCGAGGTGATACAGGACATGAATCAATGAGTACATACAGGATTTCAGTTGTTTCTGGGAGGCTCTTCTTTTGAACATCTTAATGACTGTCTGCTCCCACTTTTTCCTCGGAGATGTGTCCGAGGAAAGCTCAATGCCCAGGTATTCCTGTTGTTGGCGATGCTAGTAGCAGACGACTGTTGGGGCCCGTCAGCATCAGGGTTTCGTTGTGCAGGACATTTGAGTACTTGGCAGCGGTCCACTTGCTGAAGTTTTGACTTCTGCTGTGGCGGTGTCAGCTTTACTCCCCAAGCTGTGCACTCCATTGCTCCTGGAGGCAGTGGCTACATTTTTTGCCACCTAACTTGCATGTCAGCAGGCTGTGGAGGTCCACTCTCTTGATTCAGTATGGATCCGTGCTCTCCTGTCTGCCTCTCATTTTTCCTGAAGATGTGATTGTCCAGTTCTTGTCCTCAGCCCATCTCGGACCTTGTGTTTATTTGGGGGTTTCATTGTCTTCTAGGTGGTCAGGTCAGGCTGGGTATCACCTTCTGTTGGTTAGGGTAGATGTCTGTTAAGTCAGTAGCTGGGCTGCAAGTGCTTCCAGCATCCGCCCCTTCTCTGGTCAGCGGTATGCTCCCTCCCTTCAGAAGGTGGTCTTTTGGGGTTTGTGCTAGCCCTTTCGCTATTTGCCCCTTTGACGGGGTAGTGGTCGCATGTTTCTCTCATATGACCTGGTTGGTTCCTCCCCCCTCCGGTGGTTCGGATTTTTACGGGCAGGCTTCCTTCCCTTGCTTGCATTGGACCATCTCGGAGTGGGTGACTTTGGGCATGGTCAAAACTTCTACTTCTCTTTAGTGGGTCTCCCGCCTTTTCCTGGTCCTGAAAGGGGGACTCGCCAGACTTCCAGTTCATCCTTGACCTCTTGTGGTTGAACTAGCTCATTCTTTGCCCCTCCTTTTGGATGACCACCTTGTCCTGGATTCATTGTATACTCAAGACAAGCACTTGGATGATCTACTTGGTCATCACGGATGTGTATTGGCACATCCCTATCCATCTGGGGTTCAGAGATTGGTTAGGTATTGTGGGACAAATGACTTGGAACCTTCTTTTGAAAATTACTTTGTGGGGGAATGGGTTTACTGCTCTGGGGTTCAGGTTGAATCTGGCTCCACACATCTTAAGTTATTTTTCTTTCCTTCTAATTTCCTGTCTAATGTATGTGCTTGTCTGTTTACTGAAATTTATGCTTTCTTTACCTGTTGTCAGGATCAGAGGGCCTGTACTTAGGCTTAGTGAGGTCCTCCTCGACCAACTACTGATTTAACCCATCATGAAACCTATACTAATTGTTTAACTCTCAGGTGCCTATTTACTGCCAAGTGATCAAGAGGCATAAGCTGACAGGAAAGTTTTCCCAAATATTTGTCCAGCCATGGGGTTTGAACATGGGACCCTGTGTGTTAAGACAGTGGTGCAATATCCAGCATAGCGTTGGCTCCAAAAGAAAGGAAAAATTAGATCAATCGATATATTGTGATTTTTATTGTTATTCACTTGAAGAAAATACAATATACTGTATTGGTATTTTCCACATCTAAGACAGTTATGATGTCCATTTGGATGTGCTAGACTGTATTAATGCTTACATAACTGCTGCTTAGAAAAAGCATCTTTGACACAAATAACATTTTACCATATACCACCGTATAGTAATACAAAAATTCCATCATAATATACTACAATACCTCAATACAAAAATATAGGATATATGTAATTAATATTGTTAACAATTAATCAGTTAAAAACTAGAATTAGGAAAAACATTAATTAGAAATTAGAAACATTAAAAATACATTAATAATTATTAAAAATTTAATAATACATATTGAATATTTTAAACTTTTCTTATTGCACATAATATAGTTCTAGAATTCTCATATGTTATCTTCATATTATATAAGTATTGTATAATATTAATGTTTATAAAAGTGTTTTTTACTTTTTAAACTATGGCAATTTTTCAAATTACAGTACAAGATTAGGCTCGTGCTTCCAGTCAAAATAAACCGAAGTTTCAGTGCAAGCCAAATAAACAATTGTTAGTTTATAAAATTGACCAGTTAAGTGGCCTATGAAAAACTCTTCACAGGCTGTAGGCTTCTGGCTCTTACCAAAACCCCTGGAAACAGTGGGTAACATGTAAATTTGCATGACTTTAGTTGTGTACCAGATGGTAATAGATTCATTACACCAGATGCCCTTATATCTTAGCAGGTGGAGCACTTTTCATCTTAATTTCCTTATTGTGGGAACATTGAGTTGAACCTGGAGGCAGCCATATGTCTGATGTGCAGTCTCCACCTGGGTACCTGGGTAAATATTAGCATGACTTAATAAATGTTCTACATCAACAATAAACCAAACTAAATTACAGAAATATAAGTGAATATGAACTGCCAATTTAGTAAAATCATTCAATTGTTTCCTAAACTAAGATCCCGTGTTCTATGACAAGATCTTCAAATCAGGCAGGACAATATACAGTACTGTACCGGTATCAGCATCATAGTTGGGTAGGACGGCAAACTAGCACCACATGAAAATTTCAAATACCTCTATAAAATTTCCTAATAACAAATCAAGTTAAGAATTCCATATTAAATACTGCATCACACAAAAGTAAGGAAAGCTATTTCTAACATGGATGAATCAACAAGTTGTATATTTCTTGAGCAAAATGCTTCTGCAAAATCTCATCCATGCTAACTTTAAAAATCTGTAGATGCCAATATCATTATACCATCTTCTTTGCTTTCCCTTACTCTGTTTTAAAACTTTTACCTCATCTCTAGATTTATAATGTACTAATTCTTCCTACATTTTTCTTTTTGATCACTTGCTTACCTGGATAGCAAAATAGGTAAACTCTATTTTGTAAACTCTGAACTCAAAAAATTCAAACTTTCATCCAATCCTTACTCAAAGCTAACAAAGCAAAAGCAAAAAAAATAACATGATTACTATAGGAATAAAGTATTACCTAATTTCATGAGCAAGTGCAGGGCCATCAGGTTCCTTTCCAAAGTCCACCAGGAAGTTCTGGTTCAACGTTAGACCACCCTTTTCTGTGTTAACATCAATCTGCAGCATTACGGATCCATTTCTGTAAGATCAATAAATGAAAGTAGAAGGGAATGAGATATGACTGAAAATACAATAATGGTCGATGCAAGCCATGATTCTTGTCTTTGGGGATTGGCATCTTTATTTACCTTGACGACGGACTGGTTTGAGTTGCCAGTCTGTCTAGCGGTTAGGGACAAGGTCCTTTCCTATCCCTAATCACTAGGCATAGTGGTTAGGGATATTCAATACCCTTTTATTTAAGGCTATTGAATAAAAGTTATACATTTCATTATTTAACCCACTCTTTCTGTGTTAACTGTAACCGATTTTAGCAGTGACAAGGATGAGTTCTTCCATCAAGGTATGTCTCATTAAGAATATTATAGAATTTAGATTTTGTTTGAGTGCATTGGCCAGTACCTCAGAGGCAGATTCTAACAACCCTTTAACCTAGTGTAATACATAGCATTTACTGTAGATTGGGTTCACCAAGGTTCAAGCTACCACCAATCTTGGTGTTGCATCCCACCTCTTTCAATAAAGGTGGCTATTACAGAGGAGCTGAAAATTTGTATGAATCTGCCCAAACTGCTGTTGAAACTATTATAATACAAGACACAAGTGTAGTTATGATAGTGATGAGAACAAAGAATGTTCTGTTATCTTCATTTCTCCTATTCATTTCAGTTTACATGCATGCTTTTTAATTACTTAGCATGTTACATATACTTTAGCCAACTTTAAGAAAACTTGTGCCATCTCATGGGTTACATTATTTAAGTAATGTTGTATACTTCAATAATATGACTACTTTTCAACATAAAGCTTTTGGCAATAATTATCTGCATTTAAAATATAAAAAATAAATAAAAAAATATTCATCTCTTACAACCGCTCCATTTTCATTCCATTCAACCATATGCTATGTTTCATCTTTTCGTTTTTCAAATACAATCATCTTGATATGATTTGCTAGAATGTTCTGTTTTCTTGCAGAGTTTTACAGTGCATGCAGAGTATAACTTACTTAGCCGTCTCTGGATAGAATTGCTTGTCCCAAGGGGAGAAGAGAGAGTCTGTGACATAGAGACGCGTGCCATCTAGAGACAACTGTAACATTTGTGGGCTTCCTTCTATCAACCTCCCTTTCACATACACAGGATCTGGCTGTTCCTGCAAAATACAGAGAGAATTAGTATATCACATAGCTGAAGATTAAGTGTAAATAAAGATGGCAACACCTTTTGGCACCGTCATTCCAAAAATTACATGAATGTACATTACCAAAACCAAATATTTTCTTAAATTTATATAGATGACCCTATTTATATTCTAGGGATTCAATTTTCATTTAAGATACCAAGTAATATAAAATGGAAGCCATAAATACCACGACATTACAACAGTTAAAAATCCAGTTAAAAAAATCAGAAACAATGGATAGTCTTTTAACAAGCTGCTGGCTTCCTGTCCCTGTCAAGGTCCCTAGAGAAATTGTGGTCCCCAGGTAAAAGAAGTATTTAGATAAACAAACATTCAAGTTTACATTATTACCATCATGTATGCCCAAAACAAGTACTTTTCATCACTTTCATGATGAAACATGGCAACTTTTTAAAACATAATAAACATTGAGGACCTATTCTGTTTGTTATGCATTACCAAGAACCTAAACTATTAAATGGAAATATTAAATGAACAGTTAAGAATATATATACTGTATATGTAAACTTTGCGGCACCAAAAATGCCTGGGTTGTCATGACAGGCAGTGTTCTTGCGTGTGTTCATGAGTGTTTGGTCTTCGGCTCCTCTTTGATTACAGCAATGGCTTGCAACCTGCCAGGGGCAAAGTGATGCACAGGTAAGCTGTGCACATGCCTTGAGCCCAAAGTCAAACAGGACCATGTTTGTACCCATTAAAAAAAAAAAAATATTAAGGGACCATAATAAATGTATATGACCATTATAGTAATTTAATTCTTCCAACTATTTTATTTATTTATTTAGATTCAAGGTGGTACAATGGGTCATTTTATTGCAGATTTTGGCTATTGGGCATTACATTCTAATACAACGACTCACACACACACAATTCAGGCAAGTCTTAAAACTTCCAAAGAATATGTTATTTTCTCATAGTGCAATGGAAAAAATGGGTACAGTAGTGCAGTATAACTGGCCAATTCATGTACAGTACTAGTATAGGCAGCAGTTTCCTGCTGAAATTTCAATGATCTCCGATTGTATATCCCAGATTGAGGGTCTTCGACTATGCAGATTGTGGGTCTGCCCACATCTGCCCCAGATTGTGGGTCACCGTCTGTCCCATATTGTAGCTAGCCATCTGTCCCCAGACGGTGTGGTTCCTTGACTGTCCCAGATTGTGGCTCTTCAACTGTCCCATATTATAATGTCTAGTTTTTATTTTCATCATTTTTCAATATTTTTACTAAAGTCATTTTTTTTAATGTTAAATTTTACTATTTAAAAAGTGTTTTTAACTACAGTATAAATTAACGTAGGTGAAATGAAAGATATTAGTGGTTAAACAAATTAACTCGCAAACAACATGAGTGACCCTGAAAAACCACAACTGTAATGCTGACAGGAGAAAACAAGCAACCTAAATAGTAGTCACTGCATGCATCACTGGAGTCCCCCACTACACCAGGCGAGTCAGTACCTTGCACACTGCACAAGTTGATCAAGAACCCACCCTCAAGCTCCAGATTCTATAAGTGGAACCACAGAGATATACAACCACCTGATTCACCACACAATCTCTTATAGGAGGGTGTCTCAAAAGCTATGAGATTTTTATATCTCCTTGCCCAATATTATTCACCTGAATAAACCAAAAATAAAGGAATTACCAAATTGAAGGATAAACCTTTTTTTAGTTAGAAATCATACACAAATGCTATATCCCATCCTCCTGTTTTGGTAGTACTTATAGTAACAATGAGGACCATAGTACAGTATATATATACCGATGTATAATACAACAAAATTAGAAAGTATAAATTGGCACTATTGAGTTGGACAAACCGGAAAACTATTTTCTATTTATGTTGCAAAGACAAACTAAACTAACCTAGCCTAACCTTCGTAGGCCTAATACACAATATTTGAGGCCTAATATAGTACATATGTACACTATGCTAGGCCTAAGAATATTTAGGTTTGTCTTTTAGCTTCATTTTTTTCCAACTATAAAGAGAATAGTACAATGTTTTACTATTTAATTGCTTAGAATGGCAATCTTTGTACTATGGTCCACACAGTTACAAAAACTACTATCTAAACAGGAGAATGGGTTGAATGCTAATGCACATTGCTTTAAAGATAATTCATCTTTCTCATACATACAACTAATTACATTTCATGAAACAGTTATTTCAGTTAAATATACTACAAAATTCTCAGATTCAGTACTTACTGTCAGCTCAGAATCATGTATGACCTTCACAGGACCACCCTTTACAATGGAGCCACCTAAGAAAATTTGTCCCACTAGTTTAGGGTGTTCAGGATCTGTAATGTCATACTGGCGAATATCCCCATGTGCCCAGTTGCTGAAGTATAGGAAGCGGTCGTCCAGGGATATGAGGATGTCTGTCATAACACCTAAAAGGTAAGAAACTTTACATTAACACTTTGCAAAAAGATACAATTAATATAGACAGTCAAGGTAAGCTGATTGGCTTTTCCTCAACGAAGTGACTTCATAATGCAGTACCACTTGCTTCACCAACCAGTTACCCTCACAGTCCAGTACCTCATGATGGGCTGGGCTGGACTGGGCTGATTTACCTTTGCCTGGGTTGATTTTTGGACTGAGGTTTTGGTGGCCCAGTATTTGGTTAATGTCCCTGGTCCCAGTCGGCCATGTGTTGCTTTGGCCCTTGTCTCCCGGCCTGGATTTTCTTTGTCCCAGTGCATGCTGCCTCCCCTCCTCTCTTGTAAGTCCCATTTTTGTTCTCCGAGGTTAGTTAGCTCCAGGGAGCCACCAGGGACTCTCCGACAATCCTAGTGAAGATATTGAAACGCCTCTTTCTAGATGAGCACAAGTTGCTCCCTGACTCTGTCCCTTCCTCCCTACCAACCAGGTTAATCAGTTCATTAGTGGGCTGTTTATCAGCTTCAGAACTGGAAGATACCTGCATGGAGAAGCTCGGCCACCTGGTGGTGGCATTCGATACTACTAATTTTTAATGCTTTTTTTGTTGTGTGAATCATTTGCAGAGTTTGGTGATTTCGAGGATTAGGTCATCATTATCCCCTCCAGTTGTCTGCAAGGGATTCACTAGTTTTGCTAACTTTCTAGATTCTTTCCCAGTGTGGTGGCAAATTGTCACTTACTCTCTGCCTCTGTGAGGAGGTATGCCAGGTTTTGGCTCTGATCCCAAGTAGGCCAAACTGAACTCCAGTGTCTGATATGACCTGTTTGTATGGAGCAACCTCAGTGAGATAGCTTCAAGGAACGACTGGGACTCATCCAGAAAGAGGTGTTCCAGTGTATTCAGTGCTGAATGTTTTAAGTTGAAAATGTCTAAAATGTAGTTTCGAAGTGAGTTTCCCATACTTGAGATAAATTTGAAGCCAATGGTACTGTTAAAGACATTACAATATAATGATCTAGAAGACCACAGCCATCAATCAGTCCTATCATTAACTGTGGTGTAACAAAGATTTGGATACTCGCCAAAAAAATGCACAAGGCAATGTCCTTGTGAGACAAGAATCAGCAAGGCATGCATTTATTGAATTGTAATATGTAAAGAGGTGGAAATGTTATGCACTAAACGTACATGCCTTGAATGGAAATGGTCCTCATCATCGAAGTTAATTTTTATGAGTTTCAGATTCTGACAAAAGTAGCAGACAAATCACAGTTTAAGAAGACTGACAAGTCTGATGGCGCTATGTTCAAATTAAATAGCACAATCAGTTGTGACAACTACACATGTTTGTCTACTGATAAGACACATTCACACGGAGAAGACTAAATATACTAGGGCTCATATTATGGTGTGGTTTGTCATCCAAGATATTCAAAAACATCAGCAGTGCCTGGAAACCAATGGGGAATGGCTGACAGCTGAGTGGACAGCACTTTGGATTCGTAATCCTCAGGTTCCGGATTCGATCCCCGGTGGCGGCGGAAACAAATGGGCAGTTTCTTTCACCCTGATGCCCCCTGTTACCTAGCAGTACCTGGGAGTTAGACAGCTGCTATGGGCTGCTTCCTGGGGGTGTGTAACAAAAAGGAGGCCTGGTTGAGGACCGGGCAGCAGGGACACCAAGCCCCAAAATCATCTCAAGATATCCTCAAGATTACAATTCAAACATTTGAAATGATGTGCTATATTTCAAATCATTTGATCTGTGTAACTAAATTATTAGATTAGGACTGACTAAACTGACAAAATTTATCTACTATCAAAGTGTGCATACATTTTTTAAGACACTGATGTATATTCACTGGCTAAATAATTGTTAAAGTTAAAAAGCATATATGTGAATGATGTTGTGGAAACTGTTGTCTGTATGGCTTACCAGGCATCTCTGGTAGCATCCAACCCTCTACCTTCTTGGGTGGAACACTGATCACATTGTGAGCTGCATAAGTCCCATCTTCTTTTTGGTAAAATCTTTGAAGGGAAAACAAATATATAAATCAAAATTAATTTTCAATGATAAAAATTCAGAATGACCGGTTTTATAATAATACTTTGTATTTTTGTAATTATATTATCAGATTTCAGTCATTACTTAGTACAATATTTGTATATTCAATAAAACTATCAAGTATGCACAGCATTTTAGGCATAATTTAAGATCATGAGTGTATTCTTCAAGGATTGTAGATCCTGTCATAGCAATGCTCTACAACAAATCACTTGAGTTTTGAGCTTTTCCAGATATTAAGATGACTAGAATAATTCCACTCCAAAAGTGGTGAAATCGACAATTTTAAATGAAAACCCATCTTGCCAATCTCGTCCAAAATATAAAGATAATATACAAACAGCTCTATTCCTTCCTAGATAAACACAATATACTTGGTTCTTGCCAATAATTAATACTAATTTATATGCTTGAACTGATACATACAGCTCTTGACAAAATTGAGTGCCCCATAGATTTAGTTCTTGACCTACACTTAACCACAGTAACCTCCTCCTCAAACTACAACACTGTGGAGTCACTCCCTTAGATACTTGCAATCTTACCTCAGGGACAGGCACCAGTATGTCTCTGTGAACGATATTAATTCTCCCATTCTGCCAATGAACATTTTAAGCTAATTCTATTTTCTGATGACACAAACTTCTTTTTCTCTCATGCCTGTCTCTCAAAGGAAGCCAGTCGGCCGAGCGGACAGCACGCTGGACTTGTGATCCTGTGGTCCTGGGTTCGATCCCAGGCGCCGGTGAAAAACAATGGGCAGAGTTTCTTTCACCCTATGCCCCTGTTACCTAGCAGTAAAATAGGTACCTGGGTGTTAGTCAGCTGTCACGGGCTGCTTCCTGGGGGTGGAGGCCTGGTCGAGGACCGGGCCACGGGGACACTAAAAAGCCCCGAAATCATCTCAAGATAACCTCAAGAAGATGCTAACCCACTTATTCTAAATGACACAGCGAATACTGATATAAAAAAATAGAAGTCCATTTGTGGCTGACTGCTAACAAATTTACCCTTAACATTTTACATATTGTTTGGTAAGAAGTCTAATAATAAAATTAACCTAAAAATTAATAACACACAAATTAAAAGCAGAGTACAGTAAATGGGAAATTCCTTCGAGTTTACATTGACATCAAGCTGAATTTCCATTGCTATATAGAAAATATAAGAAAAACATTTCTGAAGTAGTAGGCATTCTCTCCAACATCAGATACAATATACCAAGCCCTGCGTTGGTCCAAGTAACTATATTACTGTATTTGCTCATCTACAGTATCTGTATCTTGCCTATGTTATTTGTGCCTGGGGCATATAAAACACTAAATTACCTTTGACCCCTAATTACTTAACATAAATCAGCAATAAGAACAATAACAAACTCCAGTCCAAGACAGCACTGTGCACCCTTACTGAAATATACATACTGTACATCCATACACACACATACATATACATTACCTAAACACATTAGCATATAGGGCACAACCAACGAAACCCTGAGTAGCAAGAGGATTGTGCAGAAAACGAATCTCAAGAGGCATGACGCCCTTCATGCCCAAGTCAATGCGCTGCATAAGGCGATGCTCAGACCACGAGTACACATTAAGGTGAGTCCCATATTTTCCTGAAAGATATTAAAGTACATAAAAATATTGTTGAAAATTTAAATGCTTAATTTTAATATTATGGGTAATTGTTCCATTGCAATTCAGCAACTGAGAGGGTAGACAATGCCATCATTTTATATCAGCCAAAATGTAAAAATTTAATGTAAGCATGTAATTTACAAGTTGATTATTCTTGTAACTGTGAAAATTACAGTACAGTATTGAGATGTTGTAATAGAAAGCTTAATTACCAGTACCTGCAACTTCCTAACCCAATTACTACAGTAGCTCTAAACAGCTTACAATCAAATTGTAATATGCTTGTTACTGAAGGCAGACAGATATACAATACAGTATAGGCAGTTCTGCTCTTACGAATGGGTTACAATCTGAAATGTGTTTGCAACAATAAATGAGATTTCCTATAGGCGCAATGTTTTAAATGGGGGATGCATTACTGGACCACTACAAATCATCATAAAAACAAATAATTTGGGGACATATAGTATATTTTATATTTACTGTACCTGAATTTTGTATTATTTATCTTATAGTAAATGATGGAGTTGTCTTGCTTGTCAAAATTGGCTGCTTTTGAGCAGGGAAGAGATC